GCTTCCTTCCACCATGCGCTCTCGAATTCCCCTCACTCGCCCCGCCGTCTTCCCCCATCGCCGTACACAGAGGCAGTTGCACGGCACACCCGCTGCACGAACGTATCCACTCTGTATGGTTGAGGGGTTAAATCCTAAAAGTCGAAAGGCAGAAACCCGCAATTCTGGACGCGGCGAAGCCCCCGAACCGATGCCGGTAAGCGAAATCTGGAAACCGACGCCAGGCCAAACCCGAAACCCGACGCCAGAGAAAACCGCCGTCGCCGTCGCCGCCGTCGTCTCCCTCGTCGCCTTCTCCCTTCTCCACCTCGCCCTCCTCCCCCTCTAACCCCCCCCTCCCTCCTCATGTAGTCCACCCTGGCCAGCACGCAACTCACAAACATCTAGAATGAAGAAAACAAACAGCCGCAGGACGTTTTCCCCTGGGGCGACGTGGCGACGACGGCGACGACAATGACGACAGCGAGGACAACATCGACGATGACGACGACGACGACGACCACGACGACGACGACGACGTAGAATGAAGCATCGGAGGCAACAGTCCGCGAGAAGACTTTTGCTTCCGATCCTGAATTCGATCCCCGACGACGACGGAGTCGTCTTTTTTGTCTGCGACGCCGTCATTCTTCCTCGCCGTCCTTGCAGGAATCGCAGGCGTGGCCGCGCCCATTTCGGAACACCCCTCACACGCTTCGTGGCCCCACAGGGAGCTCCACCGAAGGCCCCAATTGCAGGAATCACATGCGTAGCCGCGCACACCTCTCACACGTTTCGCGGCCCCATAGGGATCTCCACCGAAGGCCCCCCTGGAAGGGAATCGCAGGCGTGACCGTACCCAATTCGGCACGCCCCTCACACGATTCGTAGCCCCATAGGGAGCTCCACCGAAGGCACCAGTTGCAGGAATCGCAGGCGTGGCCGCGCCCATCTTTCACGTTTCGCGGCCCCATGGGGAGCTCCACCGAAGGCCAGAGTTGTAGAAATCGCATGCGTGACCGCACCAATTTCGGCACACACACACACACACACACACACACACACACCTCACACGCTTCGTAGTCCCATAGGGATCTTCACAGAAGGCCCCAGTGGCAGGAATCGCATGAGTGACCTCGGCCCCTTTCGGCACAACCCTCACACGCTTTGTGGCCCCATGGGGAGCTCCACCGAAGGCCCTGCCGCCTGCTGCTCCCCAGGGCCGCGCCGACAGATGCACAGATCAGCCGTAACGGATTACATCCAGATGTAACCCGCCACTGTCGACCGCTGCGCCTCAATCAGCAACGTCGCTCCGTCATTCTCGCGCACGCATTCGCTTTTGTTGCTAGCCCCCTCCCTTGGTGTCCACCTGTCTTGCGGTACTCACAGCTACACTGGTTGAGTCATTCGCCAGGCTAACTCTCCAAGTGGTTGAAGGATTCTGAAGTTCTCACATGTGTTGTTTCCGACCGCCCAAGACTCCCCAAGATGGCTCCAAGATAGCCGCAAAAGTCGGCCGAAGAGGACCCCGAGATCGCCCAAGAGCCTCCCACGAGGACCTCAAGACGGCCCTAAAGCGCTCCAAGAGAGCACCGAAGTGGCCCAGAGAGGCCCCAAAGGCAGCCTCCGAAGGCGTCAGACAGGCCAACCACAAGCCCCGCAAGATGCTCCCAAAAGGCAACCAAGAGGCTCCCAGAAGCCCCCAAAAAACCCTAAGAGGCCTTCTACTCCTCCTCATCCGCCTCCTTCTCCGCCTCCTCCTCTCCCCTACGCGCGGGCGAAGATGAGGTCGAGTTCACGACCCGCATCAGTTCATACCGCTCGTTGAACTGCAGCGTGGCGCGAACTCAACCTCCCCCTTACCGCGCGGACGAAAACGAGGTGGAGGTCACGACCCGTCCCAGTTCGGACCAGCCGTCGGACTTGCGCTGTCCCTCAATTCAGTCGCCTTTCTGATGTGTTGTTGCACAGGCACGGTGGCGGGGCTTGCCACAGGCAGCTGGATACTATGTCGATATACTTGTCACATGGCAGCGCACGGGAGAGCGCGCGAGGGGGAGGGTGAGGAGGAGGAGGAGGGGGAGGAGGAGGAGTAGGAGGAGGAGGAGGAGGAGGAGGAGGAGGAGGAGGAGGAGGAGGAGGAGGAGGGGGAGGAGGAGGAGGAGGAGGAGAGGAGGAGGAGGAGGAGGAGGAGGAGGAGGAGGAGGAGGAGGAGGACGAGGAGGAGGAGAAGAAGGTCGAGGAGGAGGAGGGGAGGGAGAGCGCGCGAAGACGGTCCGAGCGGACCGGCCCCAAGCAGCGCAGCGCGGGGGGGGGGGGGGCGGAGCCCTCGGGAGACGAGCGGCCGGAGGTCGGCGCGGGCAGAACGCAGGAATCGGAAAAATGGGCGGGGGAGGAGGAGAAGGAGGAGGAGAAGGAGGAGGGGGAGGAGGAGGAGGAGAGGAAGAGGAGGAGGAGGAGGAGGAGGAGGAGGGGGAGGAGGAGGAGGATGAGCAGGAGGAGGAGGAGGAGGTGCTGGAAACGAGTCGGAGAGATAGGCGCGGGAGTCGGAAGATAGTGAAGGGGCCCTGGGACACACAGATAAATACACACAGATGAAAGGATTCCCTATATATTTTCCCATATTTTCTGGGTTCTTGTCCTCCCCCCCACTTCCCATCTTTTTCCACATTTTCCTGGGGGTCGACGATGAATTGTGTCTGCGTGTTTTTTCCCCTCCTGAGATAGACATGGGTGTCGGAGTCGCGTGGGTAGGAGCCGGAGTCGGAAAGGTGGGACGGCGGCAGGAGCAGGAGTCGGAGGGACAAGAACAGGAGTCGGTGTGCTCAAGAGTGATGGTCGGAGTGGATAAAACAACGCATCTACTTTAGGAAGTCTTCTCCTCGATTGTCCCACCATTGTCGATTCTGGACGAGTAACACGATTCCAACATTTTCGTCGCGTGGCAGGGCAGGGGGTGGAACAAATACGTTTCTACTCTGGTCGTCACGTGGCAACGCATGCGGGCGGAAAAAATACTACTCTACTCGTCGCATGGCAACGCAAGGGGGGGAGAAAATATGAGCATTCTCTACTCGTCACATGACCACGCATGGGGGGTGGAAACAAAATACTCTGCACCACTCGTCACGTGGCAAGGCAAGAGGCGGAACGACATACTAGACTGCCCCGCTCCTCGCATGACAACGCATGCGGGGCGGAGGTGAAGCGCTCTACGCCGCTCGCCCAGTGGCAAGCCGAGGGGCACAACGGCATGCTGGACGACTCTACTCGCCACATGGCAGCGCATACAAGGGAAGGAAAGAGAGCGCTCTGCGCGACTCGCCCAGTGGCAAAGCAAGCGGCGGAACAAAATCAGATTCTGCTGGTCGCACGGCAGGGGGAGAGGCGTGCGAGCGGGCGGCTGGAACCTCGCGGACGAAACGACGACCAACCACGGCGGAAGAAGTGGCAACGGGGCTGACGGCGGCGACGACAGCGGAGGCAGCGGCCAAGGGCGACGATGGCGGCGATGGAGGCGGCAAGACCGCCCCGGAGCCCGTTTCGCTGGCGCGAATCGCGACGTGACCGGCCCCCTCGCCCCCACTTCCACCCCCGCTGGTCAGTACAAGCCTGTAGCTGGCTCCCGTTCCAACAACCACGGTCCCCATCACCCCCTGGGTCTCTCCGAGTCTCTTCCTGACCATTGTGCAAGCTCCTCTCGCTCACAGTATCTCCAAATGCACAGCAATCGTGGCACCAGCCCTCAACACAGGCAGCCATGGTCGTCATCGCTCCCTGCTTTGCCTGTCTTCTCAATTCTACCTCTGCGGCCCCCAGGTGGCGACTCCTCGAAGATCGAATCCAGGATGTGAGGGCCTGGCACACTCTACATGCAAGTCTTATTCCCTCTTCCACGCAGCGCGGCCCTGTCAAACATGGGTACAGCATACAGTTGGGGCGTTGACCCAAGGAACCCTAAATAAGGAACGAGGCCCCTTTTTTCCATAAGTTAAACTCCGAGTTTCCATGGAAAACCTCAGTAAACCCCAAGGAGCACTGTAAAACAACTAAGGAACACGGAGCCCCTCCCAAACGAAAAGGGTTCCTTCTTCAGCGCCCCGACTGTAAGCAACCCCCACAGATGGCGCATGCCCCCCACGACCAGTTGCGTGCCCCCTCTGCGCCCGGGGAGCGAAACAAAGCGGCTGGCGACTGGCGAACTGCTAGGTCAGTCGAGGCCGAGACGGCAGTGCTCCACCACCAGGGAGGCCGGATGCTCCCAAAAGCTACCTGAAGCCTCCAGGAGCCTCCAGAGGCCAGGGAGCCTCCGAGAGGACACACAATCTGCTGGCCCCTCGGGGGGCGCCGGGCGGTGAGGGTCACCTCCTGCTGCCTACTCGGCACTGGGACAGCCACGGGGCCCCAAGAGGCCCTGAAGGGCGCCCCAAGAACCCCAGACAACCCACGATGGCGCCAAGAGTGATGAACGAACAGCACACACACACATACCCATCGGGGGGACGGAGGGGGATGTGGGTGCGTGTGGTCGGATGGGGGTCTCCGCTCGAACGGGAGCATCCCCCCGGGGTCCGACATCCCGCACCCCCACCCGGAGCCAGTCCTCCTCCCTCCGAGCCCCCATCCCCCCATCAGATGGGTACGGGTGTGATTAGTTAGTCGTCCCGTAAAGATGACGGGTCCGCCGAGGCGCAGCGGAGCCCGATCAGCTGGCAGAAGGACAACGACCTGGAGCTCGGCGCGGGCGCGGCGGACGGTACAGACGGTGCAGCGAGGCACCGCGGGCGCTCGCCCGCCCTTCGGGCACTGCCCCCTCGCGAGGCGGGCGAGCCCGTGGGCAGCCGCGACCCGGACGAGGCCGACCGCGGAGCCCGGGCCCCGCCGCCCGCGGGTCGAGCTCGGGGCGCCGAGCTAGGCGAGCTGGAGCCGAGCTGCCCGCGGGGCAAGGCGGGAGGCCCCGAGGAGGCCACCGGGACTGCCCCGGGGCGCCCCCGAGCGGGCCCGTGTCCCTGCAGCCCCGGTGCGCCTCTCCGGGCTGCTCGCCTCTCGCCCGGGCTCTGCCCCCGAGGTGGACTCGGGCTGGCCCCCGGCCGCCCCAAAAAAAAGAAAAAAGAAGTGCACACGATGGCACCACGGCGGCGCCCAGAGGCCTCGGGATGCCGTCAGGATGACCCCCCCTCCAGCCAAGATGGCCCGGCGAGGACCCGGGACGGCCCCAAGATATGCCGGCCGGAAGGAAGAGGAGGAGGAGGATGAAAGGAGGAGGAGGAGGAGGAGGATACTAAAAAAGAAGACTGAGAGGAAGTCAGTAGTGAGAGTAAGAATGACAAGAAGAAGAACAAGAAGAAGAAGACGACAACGAGGAAGCAAGCGGAGGAGGAGTAAGCGTGGTACGAGGAAGGTCCAGTCAGCAAACATGAGAGCATAAATGAGGAAACCTACGCAGCTCCATGCTAGAGTGTACGACTTCCATGACCTGGCTACACTGAAGGAAGACAGTGAGCTGATAGGTAAGAGTCTGCAGACGGGAGGAGACGGAGCAGGAGGAGGAGGAGGAGGAGGACACGCGACAAGGAAGACCGACTGGAAAATTGTATCATACACACCTTTCTTGGGGCACGAGATCAAGAAATATACACACGAATAGATGTGTAGATCGATACATCTACATATGTGTACAAATGTAAAATGGAGGCTCCTGGTGGCCTCCCAAGAGCCCCTAGGAGCATTCAGGGAGCTGCCGAGCATCGCGTTTCGTTGCCATTCGTAGCACTTGTTGCTGCCATCCCGTAGTTTGCCAACAGAAGGCGGAGATGGGTTGGAAGTCCTGAGTAGCAGGGAAATAGGACGCAGATACTAACAGGTGGTCACGAGACACGTGGAGGCGCAAGCCAGCCACCAGGATTCCCCTGGCGAAGAATCCAACCGTTTTGTATCTGGGGCCACGAAACGTGTGAGTGGTGTGCCAAAATGGACCCGAGTCACCATGCGGACACAGCCACTGGGGCCCCAGGTGGAGCTCCCTACGGGGCCACGAAACGTGTGAGTGGTGTGCCGAAATGGACCCGAGTCACCATGCGGACGCAGCCACTGGGGCATTGGGTGCAGCTCCCTCTGAGAGCACGAAACGTAGGAGGAGCGTGCCGAAATGGACCTGAGTCACCAAGCGGACGCAACCGCTGGGGCATTAGGTGGAGCTCCCTCGATGGGACCACGACTCGTGTGAGGGGTGTGACGATATGGACCCGAGTCACCATGTGGACACAGCAACTGGGGCCCCGGGTGGAGCTCCCGGCGGGGCAACGAAACGTGTGAGGGGTGTGCCAAAATGGACCCGAGTCACCATGCGGACACAGCCACTGGGGCCCCAGGTGGAGCTCCCTACGGGGCCACGACTAGTGTGAGGGGTGTGCCGAATGACCCGAGTCACCATGCGGACGCAGCCACTGGTGCCTCGGGTGGAGCTCCCTGTGGGACCACGAAACGTGTAAGAGGTGTGCAGAAGTGCACCCGCGTCACAATGCGGACGCAGCAACTGGGGCCGTAGGCGGAGCTCCCGATGGTGCCACAAAACGTGCGAAGGGTGTGCCGAAAAGGACCCGAGTCGCCATGCGGACGCAGCTACTGGGGTCTTAGGTGGAGCTACTTATGGGGCCGCGAAACGTGTGAGGGGTGTACCGCAATGGACCCGAATCCAAATGCGGACGCAGCCACTGGGGCCTCGGGTGGAGTTTCCTATGGGGCCACGAACCGTGTGAGGAGTGTAGCGAAACGATGAATTGAATGACGGTGGTGGTAACGAGTCTGAAGGTAATGATGCTGACGACGACGATGATGACGACGGCCAGGATGATGCTGGCAACAAGGGTGAGGAAGACGAAGAGGAGAGGAGGAAGGAGGGGGAGAAGGAAGGAGGAGCACACGCTCGGCGCTGCGAATTCAAAACGAGGACCCAACACACAGGAGGGTTTGAAACATCAGGAGAACCATGTCGGACGGTACAAGCGAGTCCAATCAAGAAAGCAAAGGAGCGTACAGGCACGAAGGAATGAATCATCATCCTCCGATCCGAATCATCTCACAAACATACATCATACATATCTGTAATCCTGTCATTCCTTCCCACTCCCTCCCACCCAAAAGCCGCCCCGCATCACCACCTCGTGCACATTTCCTCTGCTATTGCCACTACCGCTACTCCAGCCATCCGCATTATGACTACGCGCACCAACATGGAAATAGTCATCACCGTTTTAGTCGCTATCATCCTCATCCTCATCGCCACCACCACACTAACGGCCCTCATCATCGTCGCTACCACTACAACCACCAGAACCACCATCATTACCATCACTTGCGCAATAATTGTGTCATCATCGCTGCCACGACCATCAGACATGTAACCGTCTCAACTATGACCAACGGCCTGACATTCACAAGACCGCCCGCCACTCCTCCGCCAAGCCCCAAGCATCCGATTGGCTCCACGCGGCCTTTCTCCTCCTCTTTCTCCGCCTCCTGGGGCAGGGAAGGCGGAACTCCATCACATGCTGTTGTTCCCACCCCCCACTGACGCGCACCCACGCGGGCGGACGCACGCGCGGGGGCAAGAGAATAGGCATGTCAAGGCGCGTGGGCACGCGCGCAAGTACCCCCTTGCGCGCACACCGATGCGCCTTCGCAAGAGACCCCGCTACGCGTGCACGCGCACGTTTTTTTGGGGGGGCGCGGAGGAGGAGAAGGAGAAGGAACAGCAGGAGGAGGAGGGAGAGGAGGAGGGAGGAGGGAGGCGGGAGGAGGGAGGAGGGAGGAGGGAGGGAGAGGAGGAGGAGGAGGAGGAGGAGGAGGAGGAGGAGGAGGAGGAGGAGGAGGAGGAGGAGGAGGAGGAGGAGGCGGAGGAGGAGGAGGAGGACGCGTGCGTGTGTGAGTGCACGTGTTTTTGCGCGCTTGGAGCGCTGCTGTGTGCGAGCGCGTGCGCTCTCGCGCCGCCTCGCGCTCGCTTCGTTCGACGGCTGCTGCCGGCCAGTGGCACACGCTGCCCGCTGCAAATCCCTGACTTCCGGATCGATCAGTATGAACCCCTGAGGCTGAAACCAAAAGAAATCGCCCATTGCAGATGTTCATGTTTTAAGCAAAACAGCAGCAGCAGCAGCAGCAGCAGCACAACAACAACAACAACAACAACAACAACAACAACAACAACAACAACAACAACAGCAGCAGCCGCAGCAGCAGCAGCAACAACAACAACAACCATTTTAAGGCTGTACGCTCTTACTTGCCCGCGAGTCATTCAACACGTATACCCTACACCCTCGATACCCGCCCTCTTCGTCTTCGATCACACCCCTTTCGGGGGGATTATTTCTCTTTGCTGGGGCCGGCGGGCTTAGACGTACGGGCAAACCGGAACGGGCGGACAATCCTTCGGGGGCGTACATCTCTCTGCCCGCCATTGGAATTGGCGCGGGCCCTGCAAGAGGAGGAGGGGAAGAACGAGGGAGAGTGGGAGGAAGGGGAGGGGGAAGGACGAAGGAAGAGGGAAGATACCACGTTGTGAAGGCGTCCTTGGCGCGCGCGTGGTTCCTGAGCGCCGAAACGCAATTCCAGAATAATTTGTGAGGACGTCGCACGCGAGAGCGCAGTCCTGAGTACATTGTGAGGAAATCTCAGGCGGAAGCGGGGGCCCTGACTAAGTTGCGAGGAAGTCTCAAGCGGGAGCGCCGTTCCTGAGCAAATTGCACGGAAGTCTCAGGCGGGAGCGGGGGTCCTCACTAAATTGCGAAGAAGTCTCAGGCGGGAGCGCCGTTCCTGAGTCAATTGCGCGGAAATGTCAGGCAGGAGCGGGGGTCCTGAGTAAAATTCGAAGAAGTCTCAGCGGGAGCGCCGTTCCCACGTAAATTGCACGGAAGTCTCAAGCGGGAGCGGGGGTCTTGATTACATTGCGAGGAAGTCTCAGACGGGAGCGCCTTTCCTGAGTAAATTGCGCGGAAGTCTCAGGCGGGAGCGGGGGTCCTGAGTAAAAATCGAGGAAGTCTCAGGCGGGAGCCGTTGTTGTTGTAGCCCGGGGGGCAGGGGCACAGTTTGAGCAGGAAGACTTTCCTTTAGAAAAAACAAAGTGCGAGCCCCGGGGGTGGCACTTCAATCGAAAAAAAAACAATGTGCACTGGTGGGGGGGATCAACAATAATTATTCTTCAAGAATGAGAGTTCAACAACAACAACAACAACAACAACAACAACAACAACAACAACAACAACAACAACAACAACAACAACAGCAACGACAACATCACCAACAACAGCAATCATTATAAGACTGCTATTACTTGCCCGTGTGTCATTCAAAACGAGTTCCCCACACCCTCGTTACCCGCCCTTGTTGTTTTCGATCACACCCCCTTTGGGGGGATTCTTTCACTTGCGGGAAGGCGGCGGGCTTAGACAGGCGGGCAAACCTGAAAGGGCGGACAATCCTTCGTGGGCGTACATGTGCCCGCCATTGGAATTGGTGTGGGCCCTGCAAAAAGAGGAAGGGGAGAACGAGGGAGAGCGGGAGGAAGGGAGGGGGAAGGGACGAAGGAAGAGGGAAAACGCCAGGAGAGAAGGAGCGAAGAGGGGGGCGGCTGATTAGAGGCAGAGGGGGACAGAGAGAGAGAGAGAGAGAGAGAAAAAAAAAAAAAAGGAGAGAGACAGAAAGAAAGAGGAAGGAGACAGGAGGGGAGGGAGAAGGGAGGAGGGAGAGGAGGGAGAGGGGATAGGGCAGAGAGGCATAAGGATGAGGGAAGAGAGGAGGGAGAGAGAAGGGAGGAGAGGAGGGAGGAGGGAGGAGGGAGGAGGGAGAGGGAGGAGGAGCAGGAAGGTAAGAGCGTGAACGTTCGAGGAAGTCCTAGGCGAAAGCGCCGTTCCTGAAGGAAATCTCGGGCGGGAGCCCACGACAGGAGGGCGATCCCCTGACGGGCGGGTCGGGCGGGTGGGGCATTCAAGCGGGATGCCTGAGTATGGCGAGAGCACGATTCCTCTGTAAATTGTGACGGCGTCCTTGGCGCAGCGTGTTTCCTGAGCGTCGAAAGCGCGATTTCTGAATATGGAAGTCACAGGCGAGAGCGCAATTCCTGAATAAAATGTGAAGGGTTGTCTGGCGAGAACGGGGGTCTTGATTAAATTGCGAGGAAGTCTTGACACAATTGCGAGGAAGTCTCAAGCGGGAGCGCCGTTCCTGTAAATTGTGTGGAAGTCTCAGATGGGAGCGGGGGTCCTGACTAAATTGCAAGGAAGTCAAAAGGTGGGAGCACCGATCCTGAGTAAATTATGAAGAATTCTCAAGCGGGAGCGAGGGTCCTGATTAAATTTGAGGAAGTCTCAGGCGGGAGCCATTGTTGTTGTTGTAATCTGGGGGGCCAGGGGCACAGTTTGATCATCAAGACTTTCCCTGTCAAAACACAGGGTGCGAGCGTCGAGGGGCACACTTTGATTAAGAAAAACCTATCTGCACCGGTGAGGGGGATCAACAATAAGTATTCTTCAGAAATGGGAATTCAACAACAACAACAACAACAACAACCAGTTTACCCTTATGCGTGATGCTTCCATACGAAGCATGCGACCATCATGATAACCATCCACATCATGGGGGACTCTTGTTCTATAGCGGGGTCCGTTATTCCCATTCCCAGATATCCCGCCCAATGAGGTCTTGCAAACACCTCCTCCGAAGAATTTCAACATATCCCGCCTCGAAAATAATTGCCCGCGCCTTGCTGCGCCGATGCGAGACCGCCAGTGGAACCCCAGCGAAGGGTAAAGCACAAGGAAGTATCGAACGACAGGATTGCCTTGGTGGGGATGGGGGCTGTCGGCGGTGAGGCAAGAACCTGGCCCTGAGTAGAAAGGGAGGAAGTCTCGAGCAGGGCTGCTGTTGTTGCTGGGAGCGGCGCCAATTCTGAACAGAGTAGGGCGCCCAGCGTAAAACAAAACGAAGTCTCGAGCGGGAACGCGGGTTTTGTTGGAACGGCGGCTTTCGGCGGCGAGGAGGAACACCGCCTTGAGTATCAAGCGGGAGTCGTGGTTTGTCGGGACGGGGGCTGTCGGCGGCGAGGAACAGCACCGTCCCGAGGAAAAAGAAAGGAAATCTCGAGCGGGAGCGTTGTTCTTGCTGGGAGCGGCGCCAATTCAAAAGAGAGTAGTGCGCCAGTCCAGCGTAAAACAAAACGAAGTCTCGGGCGGGAGCGGGGCGGCGGTTTTCGGCGGCGAGGAGGAACACCGCCTTGAGTAAAAAAGGGAGAAAGCCTCGACCGGGAGCGTTGTTTTTGCTGGGGGCGGCACCGATGAGAGAAAGACTAGCGCGCCAGTTCAAGGTAAAACGGGAGGAAGTCTCGAGCGGGAGCGCTGGTTTTGTTAGAACGGCGGCTTTCGGCAGCGAGCAAAAACACCAGCCCTGAGTAAGAAGGAGGAAGTCTCGAGCGGGAGCGTTGTTGTTGTTGTTGTTGGGGGCCGGTTTAAAGTCGGGGAGCGACCAGAAAAAAAGGAGAGCACTCAACTCAAAGTGAACTGAAGCGCGACATCCCGAGGCTAATTGTGGCAACTGAATCACCAGAGCGGTGTCAGACAGTGAAGCGCAAAGAATAATGAACGCTGCTAAGCAGCTTGGTGTTGTGGCCAAACCAGCGGTCCAGCGAATCAGATTGGTATGGTGTTGACAAAAAGACCCGCACCGCAATCCGACCGCGACAATGGGTGGGGTACCCAACGACGCGTGACAGCGCCGGCCGCAGCGAAACAAAGAGGCTGCCATCAGCCGCGCCCAATATTTCAACACCCGCGAATGGTGCGTGAATAATAATTTGATCGCACAACCTGCACGCACACACACACACACACAAACACACACATAGTGTGTGTGTGTGTGATCATCCTTGCAGGAGGGCCCAAGCGGCCACTGCAACAGATCCAACACAAGAGGACACAAGAAAGAAAGAGGAGGAAGATGGAAAGAAGGAAGAAGAAAAGCGATCGCATATGTCAAATTGCGTATTCAATTCCGTGGGAACGAGTGCGTGCGACAGAGCTGTGAATATGTGTACGCCCATGTGCGTATATACATACATGCACAGGTACATGTATCAATACATTCCTGCAGACATATATAGATAGATGTATACACGTGTGAAAAATGCACAGTTCTGTACATGCACACATGCATATCTGAATATGTATAGATGCATACAGACATACACACATACATACATACCGATCTATCTACACATATAAATACACACATCCATACATACATAGACACATACGTTCGTACATGCATACATACATGCGTACATACAGGTTATCATACGTACATACATACGCACGAGCATACATACATAGATCTATGAATGCATATACACATGCGGGCATGCATACATACATGCATGCATTGCAACATACATGAATGCATGCAGAATTGTATACATACATACATGTATACATACATGCATATATCTATATACGTACACATACATACATACA